TCCTTTTTTGTGGAATGTGTTTCAAGGGCAAATGGTAAACGTAAATTCAAGCACAGTAGCAGGGTCCCTAATGTATTGATATTGCTAAATGATTCTCTCTATTTGGATGCTACTTAAAATGAAACATGAAAGGTGTAAAAGGTGCTTGAAATGCTATTTTGCATGAACGATAAATGACTGTTCAACAACTGAGTTTAACAATGCATAATCAACTATAGTATATGGCAGCAGCAGCTTGAAATACTATTTGCTTAACATGCAGAGGAATAGGAATAATGCCCAGAAATATTAACAAAAGGGGGAAAAATATGGCTTAATATGCTAATACTATACAACATTAAAGCCACTATAACTAAAATGTAACAAAAAGTGGCAGAAGTGCAATGTTATAGAAATCCAGTTAAAATTAGAAATATTATATGTCACGCTAGAATCAAATACAAAAATAAAGTAAAGACTAATATTTGACCCACAACAGATTGAATTCAACATAATGCAACCTTATCAAGGCCTCAAACAACAAGATACAGGAAATTATTCCCCATTATCACATGGTCAGCTCAGCTATAAGGCGCAGTAGCAGGCTATGAAATGATACGCAAGTGTTTATGAAACTGATTTGTATGATTTTGAAATGGAATTAAGATGACATTTTTCCAACATAGTATAGCAATTGGTAACTCAGAAAATAGACTACAGGTGCAAAAACAGTCATACCCTCTTATAAAATCCCATCACCTGAGTCGGTCGAACGGCGAATGGCGAACGGCGAAGGCGACGGCGAGATCCGATGAAGACGACGCGGGATAGATCCGACGAAGACGAAGAAGACGAACGGCGAACGGCGAAGACGACGGCTGGATTCGACGGCGAGATCCGACGAAGACGACGAAGATGAACAGCGAATAGAGAAGACGATGAAATTGAGGGGAGGGTTGGAGGCGGAATGGGATAAAATCACAAGCTGGAGGCTGATCTTCGCTGAGAGAGAGAGAGTCCGGAGTCGGAGAGAGAGAGAGAGAAATTCGGCCTAGGGCTGGAGTGGAGAGTGAGTGGAGGCGGCCTGATGAGAGAGGGGGAGGGCCTAGGGTTTTTTTGTTTTTAAGTTTTGGTTTTGGGTTAGCGGGTTTGTAACTATGAATTTGAGACCCGATTACCTGAATCACTATTATATTGCGGATATCCGTATCCGCAACCCTCATATCCGTTACCGAATCCGTATCCGAAAAAAAATCCGAAACCATATCCGTATCCGTATCCGTATCCGCCCGGTTTCAAAATTAGCCTACCATATCCGTATCCATTCGGATACGGATGCGGATCGGTTCGGATATATCCGAACCGTTTGGCACCCCTACCACCAGGTGGAATGCACATGCACTCCACGCGATCAAATTTCTTGATTGTGAATTTTAGGTTTATTTATTTACTATTACATGTTTGAGAATAAAATTTATGATTGCCATAAATTATTAAAAAATTTTGGATATTTTCATGTGCAAAACCTTATTGGTTTCAATATTTTACCTAACAAAGGAATAATGAAGTTTAAAGTATTAAAAATATTAATGATTTAAAAGCAATTTTAATAATTTGAAGGACTAATTTCAAAATATTAATGATGTAAGAGACCAATATCGAAAAGACTCTTATTATTAATGAAAAGTTAAATTGTTGAATTCATCAAAGAAAAATGATAGGTTTTATGCAGTCTTATAGGATTTTATTTAGTTATAAAAAAATCATTTCCACCTATAATTTACAGCCGGTGACTAAGTGTTATTGTAATTCAAAAGGGTTTTCTAGAATTTTAGAGTTAAAATGTGCAAATTCGAGAAAGAAAACACAAATTATGTGATTAATTCTAAAATCTAATATTATAATCCTTCTATATCTTCCCAATTACAATTGATTTTATCTAAAATTCCCAAGACAATTAATCTCTAGTTTCAAATTTTTATAAAATATAATCAGAGAATGATTTATACATATTATGCACTATATGGATTGTATTTTAAGAAAAGAGTTTAGGTCTATCCAATGTCAAACAACATGCAAAATTTTAAATTAAGGATTTACAAGACTCCAATATCTGTAAAAATGCCCATATCCAAGCTATGTGCTTTATAAACTTATAAAAATGTGAGTAATATTAAATGAACAACATAATTTATTTTGTTAAATAATTAGTTTCACATTATAAAAGGCAAGAAGTATCAGAAGGATCTCATACCATCCCAAATAAAAGTAAATTTCTTCTAGAAAATCTTTAGCAATAGATGTTTAAAGTTAATGTAAAGGACAAATCTAAGGAAAAATAACCCAAATCAGTCTATTAAATGATAGACTTGGTATAAAATCCATTCTTATGAAATTAATATCACATGTACCTTAAGTCATGCTTTGTTTAAGGGTTAATTTAGAAATCTCCCCCAAGTTTAGGGTATAAATAATCCATCTTAACTTTAAAATTTTAATTTAACCCTTTGATTTTTTCTCACTTAATCCCTCAAAATTAACGCCGTTGAGTCTAAACTATTATGTGACAAGTATCCCTTAACCATAAAAAAATTACCTTGATTTTTGCCAGATGAAAGAAAAAAAAGAAGAAATATAGACGGAAAAGCATCGTAAATTGTTCGTGATCCTTTTATTATCGGTTGAGGGTTTCTTCTTAACTATAAAGATTTTTTTTCAAGAGGGTATTTCATCCAAATAACATACTAAACTAATAACATTTAGGAAGTTTGTTGAGACTTGAGAGGTGTAAAAGGTTAGAGGATTTTTTATGGAACATACAAAAAGTGGAGGGGGTAAATTATTGTTGTACTAAAGATGAGAGGAATTATCTACAGCAGCCCCACGAGTAAGCGTTTTTTCTCAAATTAAATGAGTTAGTGCATTTTCTGAGACAACCCAGATACTTGAGAGATTTTCAAAAATTAACCCTTCTTTTAAATATAACTTATTTGCATATTTGTCTCTCAAATATTTAATAATTCAATATTAGTCCGATAAATTATAAGTAATTTCAAAAATTTTAGGGACAAATATAGAATTATTGAACATTTTAAAATTAAGGGACTAATATCTAAATAACCTTTAAATATTTATTCTTATAGGTTACTTTATAATTCTGTAAGATGGCCCTTAGTTATCCAAATTTGACAAGTACCATACAATATAGTTAATTAATAATGATAATTAATTCAGTTTAGTCAGGATTAGAATATACTATTGAGAAAGAATAGGGGTAATATTATCTATGGAAAGTTTTTTCACAACTCCCACTTTTAAAGGGATTATGATATGATGTACCACATTCATATAAGGAATTAGATGAGACTTTTCAACGAAAACTATAGTATGATTGTGAACCTATTTTATAACAATTTTTTAGCTTTCTAATAAGTTAGGCCTTACTATTGGGTGCCCACTTAAACTCTAAGTTAGGCCAAGTTGACTTGGGTGTTTTTAAATAAGACGTCATATTGTAGAATTTTTAAAACTAGAATCAAGGTTTAACAAAGAGTGTAACCGGATTCAATAATATTGTGAGAGCGATGGTTTCACAGTTTTTATCCGTGCAAAAAATTATAATTTGGTGGTGATAGTGGATTTATTTTAATCCCGTAGTTTTTTCCTGTTGAGAGTATTCCATGTTAAATCTTGTGTAAGATTCTATTTGTTGCGCTTGGTGGTTTTCAGAGTTTTTGCATGATCTAAAAATCCCAACACTTACTAACAACTTACATAAACTCTAGAAAAAAATTGGTAAATAAAATCAATGAGTCAATCCATAGAGGAAGGGGAAAAAATCAATGAGATAATAATTTTAAATTTACAGATTGATCCATGAGAACAAATTATGAGTTTTTTAAAGATTAAATATCAGAAAACCCTTTTAACTTTAGATGATTTTCTTATCAGATAACCTCCCATAACTTTCAAAATACTAGAAAACCTCCCTTAAGTTAGTAATTATCAGAAAACCCTCTTTAAGTTTGAGATTCTATCAGAAGTATTCGGTAACAACGTTAACGATAATTTTCACTGACAAAAATATCCTCGCGTCTAATTTTATTCACCCACGCAAAAATTGTGGTTTAATTTCCGATATTTAGCCTCAGTTCTCATGATTGAGAAAAATGTCCTTCAAGTCACCATACTTTAAAATCTAGACGACAAAAATATTCATGTAATTTATCTTTTAACCTAAAGAAGTGTTCTTAGACAATTACATTAAGATAAGTGGTTACATTATTTCGGTATCAAATATTCTAAAACCTAACTGAACCAAGCCACCAAATCCGATTAGTACGGCCGGTTTATTCGGTTCGTACCGATTAGACATTTAGATTCACCCCATATGGATTTTGAGAATAAGGAGAAGGAAATATCTCTTATATATCTCCAACCCTACTCATCCAAACACAATTAGTTATCCAACCAAGAAGCAAATCATGGTTTGCGTTGCCTAGAAGTTATATGCCAGTTAGGAAAAGATAGTCAAATCTTGTACGCTCAAACGGTATGGGAGAAGGGTATAAAATCTAAGACCCTTTTGATCAAAAAAAAAAAAAAAAAAAAAATCTAAAACCCCTTTTTTTTTTTTATAAAAAAAAAAAAAAAAAAAAAAATCTAAGACCCTTTTTATGATTCTAATCGCCTAATATCTAAACAATATTTGCCCCTAAAAAGTCTAACTATATATACAAAAAAGTTTGCTGAAGTCCTAAATATATATACACAACAAATTATCTTTATTTCCGCCTTCACTTATCATCACAACTTTCAGCATATGAGTGAATACCTAACATATCAAAACAAGAAAATAAACTTATTTCCCATCCAAATATGAGGCTTCAATACTGTAATTGATGTAGTATCTTCTTAAATTTTTGCGCATTCCATTGTTTATTGATACATTGATGTAGTTAAGACTTGGGAGGTCCAAAAGTATAATGACACTTTACAGCACTTTAAACCTAGAAGTTGTAACAGCATTCCAAACTTCAGTTCCAGATCCAACCACAGACAAAAACCAAACCATCCAATTAAGGGGGGGCAGTGAGAGAGATTGAAAACGATGAGCATTGTTAAAAGTCTGTTCATTCACAGACTACATCGATCACAAACTTCTCTCAGCTCTCTTTGCGCTGATCTATTCTTGATGTGCAAGGGATGAACCCAGTTCTTCAATTTCTAAGCGTATCATTGTTCATATGGGCTTTCAAATTTTGTCACGCTAGAGATTGTACTGAGCTCTCTCCATCCCCTAATCCTTCTTACCTTCATCAGTTCAAGCCAAGTTATCCCCCTCCTGTTTCATTGCCTCCAACTCCTTTAGGTAGGAAAACAATCACTCATTTCCCTATATTATGTGTTCTGCATGATTTAGTCTGATGTTTGTTATGTTCAGTACTTGTTACTTCATATATTCTTCTGGCATATTTAAGAAAATTAAGGAATTATTGTTACTGGAGAGAAATGAGATTGGAAGCAGGAAGTAGGACCTCTTTTAAAGAGAAAATTTTGATTACTTTTATGTTTAGAGTATTGTTGAAGGACCTGTGTATCAAAAACTCCGTCATTCCAATGCAGGTTGAGTGCACTTTTCATATGCCGAAGCCTATACTCACACAACAATATCAATTTCTTAGCTAGATTTAAACCAAGATTTAAGGTGGGGTTATTTGTGGCCAGTGGGACTAAGTGCTACATCAAGTGAGCGTGGTGAGAACCACTTCTAGACCCTATAGGGGCCGCCTCTATAATCTACATCGCCTAGTAGTAATTTTAGGATGTAACAGTTGTCATGTTGCGACAAGGACGTTGCCTATCTAGGATGGGGTAATGAGGCTCCATTATTCAGTCCCACATTAGAAGATTACTGAGAGACAAACAATGTATCACACACTGTGGTTCCTACGACTTTCGCCACCCCAACGGGCTCATGAGTGTGGGGTATGATCGGAACATTGACATTTTCATGTATCTCTTTAGAACGAGATATTTGTTTTATATGTTTAGCCTACCAAACTCATCTATATATTTAGTGTTAATTAAAATTTCGCTGTTTTGTATAGGTATGGAGATGACTTCTGCTTTCCTTTCTTGGATTTCTTCCTTATTAAAATTATGAAATTCATGAGAAACTGACAAGTATAAAGAAGCAGTCCTTTCATGCACAAGTTAGTTTCTTCGTTCTAGTCGTAAAAGTTATTTTGATATTTTGGACTCATTTGTGCAAATTACAGTACAAGATAAGCAAGCTCATTTAGACAAGGAGTTACTTTTGGCAATCATTATCTCTTCTGCTGTCATCACTTTCCTCCTACTTTCGACAATTTGTGCCTGCTTCATTTGGCGAAGAAATAGCCTAAACACTAGTCTCAGAAATGTTCAAATTTCAGGTACCAAAGCAGAACCTCTCTTCCCCTTTTAATTTCGATTCGTTTTCATGATGTAATTATTAATATGTCATCATATATTTCTTTGCGCATTTAATAAAAGTTTCATGCCTTAGATACCATTGAAGGTCCCGTGTTGAACCGCTTTAATCCATTAAGCATAAGAGGGTCAATTCCTGAGATTGAGTATACGTTGATACAATCTGCAACCAACAATTTCAGCCAAAATAACATTTTGGCAAAAGAAGGACATGGATCACTGTATAAAGCTCATTTCAATTTCTTTAGTCTTGCTGCAGTGAAGAAATATGACTGCAAAGAGCCATGCTGCGAAAGAGCTTTTGAGGTGCTATTCACACATCTAACCCCTTCATTCATGTTTCATCGTGTCCTCTAAATATATCATTGTTCAATGCAGAATGAGATTGTTTTATTGAGCAACGTCAAGCATCCAAATATAATCTCTCTATTTGGTTATTGTGTCCATTTGGAATTGCGGCTTCTTGTGTATGAGCTGATGCAAAATGGATCACTTGAATCACAGTTGCACGGTATAGGCTTTTTCTTTGAGGGTGAAGTTTCCACGAAAAGATTACATTTTCTATAATAGATGCTTGAGCTACAAATTATCTTTTCTTATCATCAAGGGTGGAGACTATCTTGGGACATAAGGGTGAAAATTGCACTTGAAACTGCAAGGTTAGATTACATTCTGCAAACTACACCTAGGTCCTTATAGTTGCTGATTTCCTAGTTCTAAATATCTTTGTTGTTGTTAATCAGAGGATTGGAATATCTTCACGAGCATTGTAATCCCCCGGTGGTACACAGAGCTCTGAAATCATCAAACATTCTTCTGGACTCGAATTTTAATGTCAAGGTACTACCTCTAATAAGTTTCCAGCATGTTAAAAAGCCTTGTTACCTTTCTGATTTTGTTTGTATAGATTTCAGATTTTGCCGTCGCCATAGCTGGTGGAAATGAAAATGAGAATAGCCTAAAACTTTCACATACTGGAGGACATGTAGCTCCAGAGTACTTTTTAAATGGTATGTAAATTATGGATTCTAAATAGCTTGTAACTGAATATTTTGGTTGTAGTTACGCAAAGATGATTATGCTTTTTATAACCAAAGTAGTACTATATTGTTAAATATAATCCTAAGAGATGAAAATGTCAATGGATATCGAGGTGAACTCACTCAGAAAAGTGATGTGTATTCTTTTGGGGTGGTTCTTCTGGAGCTCTTGATGGGAAGGAAACTGAACGAGAGAATGATAGGATCTAGATCTCAATGCCAATCTGGGGTCAAATGGGTATGCATCAATTTTTCGCCTGCTTGTGAAATTAATCTGTTATCTTATGATTACATTGAAGCAATTGGCAATACTTATTTGACATATGGATTGATCAGGTTCTTGTTTATACTTTGTAGGTTATGCCTCAGCTCACCGACAGGGAGAAACTTCCTGATATTGTCGATCCTGTGATCAGGCATTCGATGGATATAAAACACTTGTGCCAGGTATGTTATACACAATTTGTTTGTGTGTTTTTGTGTGTGATTGTATGTTTATTAAAAAAATATTTCGAATGATGTTTATGAAAAACTATTGCCAAGTATGTTAGACACATTTTGCACATATGAGCAGCCTTTATAACCTATTGTAGCAATTTATGGCACGAACTTTAGAAACCTGTATCTAATGTTGCTCTGTGGTCTTGCAGGTAGCTGCTGTTGCTGTGCTATGTGTTCAACAAGAGCCAAGTTACAGGCCACTGATATCCGACGTTGTGTACTCCCTCATACCCCTTGTTCCTGTAGAACTAGGAGGAACTCTAAAAGTTTCAGAGCCAGATTCTTGTTAACTGATAAAATCCAATCCTTGTGAATTTATAATCAAAAGCATTATGGGCATGCAAATAAGGGCTCAATTTGATGGATTGTATTTCTTGGTGAAAAGTTCCTTATCTTTATTGGAGTAATTTTACTTGCTGTTTCCTACATTATTGATTATACATTTGAAGCTAAGGATCCCGAGGTGTCAATGCTGACTCAATTATAAATACTTACCTATTCAGGGTCAGTTCAGAAACATTGGCAAGAATTTACTTTATAGGGGGATTCCCCCCAAAAAACTACCTTAAATAAAAGATAACTATACGGAAACCACCTTTAACTTTCAATTTACAAACCATCTTTAAACTGGATTTTGTGCCATCCACCATCTCTCGGTCAAATTTTCCATTAAAACCAAAATTACCATTTAAAAACTTACATTCAAGGCACATGACCCATTTTTTAATATTTAGATCTTGTTGGGATATAACTCACGTACTTGAAGTTGAATTAGGATGCAACTTTCGCAATTTGAACATGAATTTTTAAAGCTTGTTCTTTTAGTGAAAATTTGACTGGGAGATGGTTGATTGTAACGAAAATCCACTTTAAATGTGGTTTATGTGTAAATTGAATTTAAAATGTGACTTCCGTATGATTACTCTATTTGTGAACAGCGGACATGTGCAACGGGTCCAGGGCCCAACCGAGATACATGTATAGTGTTAAACAGGTATTGAAGAGAACTCTGATTTCTTGATTATGTGTTTGGGTAGATTACAAGCTATATATACACAAGATTACACAATATAATATGAGCTGAACGATAGATAGCACTGTAGCTAGGGCGGCCATAGGGTGGCGGCACTGTAGCCGTAGGCCTGTAGCCGTAGGCCGGTGGTGTTGACATTAACAGCCGGAGATGATGACTTTAACAGCCCCCCTCAAAGTCACGGTGGATTAAAAACCGAGAGTTTGGATAAGAAGGAACGAAATTGAGAGATTGTTTGAGCCTTGGTAAACAAATCTGCAACTTGATCCTTAGAAACAATATATGTGAGTGTAATGTTTCCAGCAACATGCTCCTGTCGAACCACATGACAATCTACTTCAATATGTTTGGTACGCTCATGAAAGACCGGATTTGTGGAAATGGAGATGGCACTCTGATTATCACAATATAAAGTGATAGGGGAAGTAATAAAGACATCAAGATCTCGCAGAAGAGTGCGGAGCCATTTTAGCTCAACTGTGGTGTCTGCCAACGCCCTGTACTCGGACTCCGTACTAGAACGAGAGACAACGGCTTGACGTTTACTACGCCAAGAGATGGGAGATGATCCCAGAAAAATACAAAAGCCAGTAGTGGAACGCCGAGTGTCCGGATCATCAGCCCATCCAGCATCAGAATATGCACGAAGAGATAAAGATGAGTCTAAAGGGAAAAATAATGACTGGGTTATAGTGCCACGTAGATATCGAAGAACCCGAATGAGAGCTGCATAGTGGATGGAAGTCGGATTACTGACAAACTGGCTCAAGATATGTACTGCATAGGCGATATCCGGACGTGTTGCTGAAAGATAAACCAATGCTCCGACAAGTTCCCTATATCGAGTAGGCTGAGATAAGGGATCACCATCATCATGTCGAAGCTTCAAGTTCATTTCCATCGGTGTGGAGAGAGGAGAGGTAGAAATAGAAGGATCACTGAGAGTAGCTCGCTCAAGAATGTCTGCAATGTACTTCTGCTGAGAGAGAAGATAGCCTCGGGAGGAGGAAGCAACCTCAATACCCAAGAAGTAACGAAGGGATCCAAGATCTTTCATCTCAAATTGTCTCTGAAGATGCTGCTTTAAGGAAGTAATGGCAGAAGAATCACTCCCAGTGATTATCATGTCATCAACATAAAGTAATAGAATGACTGTACCGGAGGCTGAGGACCGATAAAATAGAGCGTAGTCAGCTAGGCTCTCAATGAAACCAATAGAAAGAAGAGATTGCCGAAATCGCTCAAACCAAGCCCGAGGAGCCTGTTTGAGACCATATATAGCACGACGAAGGCGACATGCATGTCCTAGAGGAGCAGAAAAACCAGGAGGCGGCTGCATGTACACTGTCTCAGATAGATCGCCATTAAGAAAAGCATTTTTAACATCCATTTGATACAAAGGCCAATGTTTTGCAGCTGCAACAGCAATGAGAGTGCGAATGGATGTCATTTTTGCAACAGGAGCAAAAGTTTCTTCATAGTCAATGCCATACTCTTGTGAGAATCCCCGAGCTACAAGACGAGCTTTGTACCTCTCAATAGAACCGTCAGATCGAGTCTTAACCTTATAAATCCATTTGCAGCTTATCGGTTTAACACTAGAAGGCAGAGGAACAAGATCCCAAGTATTAGTTCGACGAAAAGCCTCCAATTCTTCAGTCATTGCTTGTTGCCATTCTGGATACTTAACTGCCTCAGAATATGAGTTAGGTTCATGTATAGAGTGAATAGCAGCAAGAAAAGAGGCAAATTCAGGAGAATATGTGCTAGTGACACATTGAGCATACCGAGCAGGGGGATGACGATCTCGTGGAGGATTGCGGCGAGGGGGAGGAGTCACATCGGGAGAAGCTGGCACAGATGTAGAGGGGACATCAGTAGGAGTATCTTGCTGCAAAGGAGATGTAGTAGGTGGATGTTCAGGTGGTGTGGATGAATCAAGAACACTATCGTTTGATGCCATTGGAGTGAAGGAGGGAGTCGGTTGAGTAGACAAAGGTACAGGTACTACTGATACAGGTATAGTAGTGGAAGGTAATGAAGGGGGTTGAAGAAATGAGATATCTGAATCTGAAGTAGTATAATATGAAATATTCTCAAAGAATGTCACATGACGGGCAATACGAAGCCTTCGAGTGGTAGGTTCATAACAACGATACCCCTTGTGAACAGTGCTATAGCCAAGAAAGATACATCGTGCAGTGCGTGGAGATAGTTTATCTCGTTCATGAGTTGGAAGTAGGACAAAACAGACACATCCAAAAGTGCGAAGAAGAGAATAGCGAAACTGAGATTTAAAAAGTTGAAAATATGGAGAAGTGTCAGCTAATACAGAAGATGGAGTAATATTTATAAGGTAAACAGCAGTCAGAAGTGCTTCTGCCCAGAGATATCGAGGTACAGATGCTGATATCAGAAGAGCTCTAGTGGTATCGAGAATGTGACGATGTTTTCTCTCAGCAACACCATTTTGTTCATGAGTGTGTGGACAAGATTGTTGAGAGAGAGTGCCATGCGATTTTAAAATAGATTGCATTGCTGAAGAGATATATTCACAGGCACCATCAGAGCGAAATATCTTTATACGTTTATGAAACTGGGTGTGGATCATATTTGTAAAGTCTTTATAAATATTTAGAATATCAGAACGAGCACGCATGAGATATACCCAGGTGTAGCGAGAATAGTCATCAATAAAACTGACATAATATCGATAACCGGACAATGATGGTAATGGGGCAGGTCCCCAGATATCAGAATGAATCAAATCAAATGGGGCTAAAGAAATTTTATTACTGGATGAAAATGGTAGGGCAATTTGTTTAGCTAATCGACACCCAGTACAGTTTGATAAAGTAGAGAATTTTAAATTTCCTAATACGCCTGATTCAGATAAAAGTTTTAAGCGAGAACCAGAGATATGACCCAAGCGGCGGTGCCACAGATCAGAAACAGAGAGGCTATGACCAATGTTGGATGGAGTGGAAAGATGTAGAGACTCCAACTGATAAAGTCCATTAACTCTACGACCTGTCCCAATCTTCTGGCCAGTGTGATCCTGGACAACACAAGATTTAGCATTAAATAAGATAGTGCAACCAGAATCAGCAATTTTCCCAATGGATAAAAGTTGCATAGATAATTTGGGAATATGAAGAACAGATGATAATGTTAGATGACCGGAACTATCAGAACTTGGAGTAATATCACCTAACTGAGAGACTGCAAGGGGAGTGTCATTAGCAGTATAAATGCATAATGAAGTGGGAGCTGGTGAACAATTTGTAAGAATGGAGTTATCAAAGGTCATATGATGAGATGCACCTGAGTCGAATATCCAAGGAGTAGAAGTACCAGAATGAGCAGACAAGGCAGTAAAATCTGAACTGGAGGCAGTTCCACTTAGCCCAAGATTCTTGGTTATTAATGCAGTAATCTCTGACAACTGCTCAGAGGAGAGAGAGCTAGAAGTCTGCGGCCCTTGAGGAATAGGGCTAACATCAGCCGAAGCAGCAAATGGAGATCGAGTCTTCTCAGGTGTCGGACGGGGTGGTCTCTTACGACATTTATCAATAAGATGACCCGGCTTCTTACAATAACGACAGTATAGTTGCCGATTAGAATCATATGTGCTGTTAGAAGGCCCCCGATAGGAAGAGAATTTCTGAGGAGTACCTAGTACAATATGTGATGAGGGTAATGGCTGAGATGCAATAACTGGAGGGGAGAGCATCTGAAGGCGCGTCTCTTCAGATATGAACTCAGCCACAGATTCACGGAGACTGGGGAGAGGACTACGATGAAGAATGTGTCCACGTAAGCTTTCGAACTCAGAGCGAAGGCGCATGACAAAGTGATACAACTGTTGACGGTCACGTTGTTTCTGGAATGCTGTGGCAAAGTCTGGAAGCGTCTCAGGAACATGTTCCTCCATCATCTGCAATTCCTCCCAGTAGCCTGATAATAAGGAATAAAATTCTTGAATAGACCGATCACCCTGACGTGCATCCTGAAGAGCTTGGTGAAGTTGATACTCACGAGCAGCACCAGTCTGAACAAACATGCGACTGAGAGCTAGCCATTGCTCACGTGATGAAGATGCTCGTCCAAGGGAAAGCCGAATAGGAATGGCTACAGAACGCATAATATATGCCATGATTTGTTGATCAGTACGGATCCACTGAGAATAAGTGATCTGAGAGTCATCAGTAGTGGAATCACTAGAAGTGACTTCTGATATGGAGGGTGTAGATAATGAAGGCACAATAACAGTTTTGGATGGACAACAAAAAGATCCATCAATATATCCCCATAGTGCGAAAGCTCGAAGATTATACTGCATAGTGAGAGACCATGCAGTGTAATTTTCGGTATTTGTAAGTTGCACATCAAT